CTATAATTTCTCCCTTCAATTCATTATTGAGAAAACTAATAATAATCTTATCGAAAGAAGAATCGAAATCATTATTATCGTATATCGAATCTTATAGTATCTTTTCTTTCAATAAATAATTATATATTAAATTTGATATCAAAAAAATTATTATCTATTCTAGGAATATATATGAATATATATATATATATGAAGATATAAATATCAATAAAATCATCAATGATATTTAATAGAATATTATTTAACTAGATATAATCTCATAGAGAAAAGAAACGCAAATCCAAACGCGATATAATAAGAACAATATTATAGAAATTTCTAATAATGAAGCAAAAATTTCAAGAGAAAATTTTCGAAGATATCGTATGAAGAATATTCTCTAGAATCAGAATTTGATAACGTCTCTTTTTATATATATCAACAGAAATTAGGGGTAAATCAAGAAAATGCACTATATTATCAGAACCCTCTAGAATCAATGCGTAATAATATTTAGAATATTCAAAAAGATCCGAATTATATCCCGGAGAGCCCTCTAGATTCAATATTTCGTAAACTTATGATCTTCTAAATCAAGGTCCCAAAACGCACGCCACATCCTATAGAATCCTCTAGCAAGAAAATCCCAAAGGGGCGTTGCATCCCGTAATCCCGGAGAATTCTCTAGAATCAAGATTTCGCAACGTTTGCATTTTTTCGCGGGAGGGAGGAGGATCGAAGAGGGGGCTTACCGCACCCCGCATCGCACAGAAAGTAGAACTCAAATCCCGCAGAGCTCCGTGGAGGCAAAGTTTAGTAGCGCCTATATTCTCCCATGCACAGGGAAGAATCCCAAACGCACGCCGCATCCCGTGGAGCCTTCCAGAGTCAACATTCAGATCATTTACAGTCTTCTAAGGGGGGGTCCCACACGCGCGATGCATCCCGCAAAGCCTTCTGTGTGTCCGTGTTTGGTAGCATTTATGGGATCCCAAACGGGCGCCAGCATTTCGTGGCGATTAAGGTCTTCCAGGGGGGGGGTCCCAAACGCGTGTTGCAACCCCCAGAGCCCTCTAGAGTCAGTGTTCAGTGGCGGTTAAACTCTTCCAGGGTTGCAGTGTGTCTATGCGTATACTATATGATCCGAGGTGCATCAAATTCCTACCTATGACAGCTAGCTCTGAAAAGAAAGATAATTGATCAGTGTTGCCAAACCCAGACTCGAATTCATAATGCCTCCGCATGCCTCCGCCGGTCAAACATGAATTAGCTGGTTCTGTTTAACACTCTCCTGCCACAGTCATTTCCGCAAACAAAGGCCAGCATGGCAAGCTAAACGGTAGCATTGCTAACCCACTTGCCAACTCGCACCAATTGCTCCCTCAATGTGTTCAGTGGTTCGGCTTTTCTGAGAAACTCTGCTATGGATGTGCAATTGCGCTGGATCCCGGATCGAAGCCAAGCCTTTTTCTCGGTCTTTCCAGCTAGCTTAGCTCGGTATACGCGCTCGGCCCTATGCCTAAGACCGTTGCTTTTGCAACGTGGCATATCGCCTCGTGCACTAATTAACAAAACACAAACTGACCTTGCACGCCGCATGTTTCCACCTGGCGAAAACCGCCGGAAATGGCCGGAAGCTCAGCCCAGGCAACTGAAGCTTTGGCAGTTGCCGGACTCACGCTCCGGTTTTGAACTCACCCAAATCCACGAAATTGCCTTGACAGTTCGGACAATGGAGAACAATGCATGCCCTCGAGAAGCTATTGAATGGAACTGAAGGGTGAGCATCGCTGAACGGAACGACACAAGCCCTCGCATTCGAGTCAACACCCCTAGACGGCCACAACAGACTTTCTGCAAGTCTCTTTGAACACTCGTCATTAATTCCCGATTCAAGGTTCTTCCTGGTCCCGAACAGAATGGAAGTCGCATGTACGCAGTATCATGAATGAAACTTCCAAGCAAACTTGTCCCATCCCGCCTGCGGGGCCAGTGTGATATGGTCCAAACTTTTCCGAGATCCTGGGCTGGCGGCAGGAAGTCGGAGATAACTACCGTGCTGCACGGATATTACTACGACATTTGCGCTTACATGGCTACTGACTACTGTCCCTGTTGCATCGGCTCGCTATCGTTACAAGGAAGCCGCGGTTTGCTGGTGCAGCTCAACACTGTTGGTGGCGGCACTGGCGGCGCTGGTGGCAGCGGCGGTGGCAGTGGCGGTGGCGGCATCGGCGCGGTGGCGCGGGACGGTGTTGTTCGTCATGGTGCTGGCGGTGGTGGCGGTGACACGGCGGATTCACTCAGGTGCAGCTGCGTTTTTGCACCGCGTACTCAAGGGGCAACCCTCACATGCTGCGCTTGAATCCCCACCACGAATGCGCTGCACATGTTCAACAGAGGGGGGCGGGGCGGCAGCGGCGGCGGCGGTGGGGTGCTGCAGTGGTGGTGGTGCCACGAGGTTCTCATTCAGTGACTCCACTTTGCGTATGCGTTGTGGCCTTGCTTTCGCCTTCGATGTGTGGTTGTTCACCATTCCCACAGAGTCAGGTGATGTCAGGTGTCTGTTTGGCCGCTGCGTCGCACTGACTGTACCCTCAGAGCAGAAACAACCCCATGATGAATTCCAGGCTCACTTTCCGCGCACGATGGCATTTGAGCACGGTCAGGCTCTCCGTTGCAAGGTCCCTTGTGGGCTGCCAGCCGTCACCCACAGGGGAGCCTGAAAAGACTCACAGAGCCGATGACATGATGGGGACCGTAAGCAAACTGTGCCCAAAGTATATTACGACTTTTGGCCGACGGGTCCTTCGAGGCATCGAAATACGAGAGAGAGAGACACAGAGAGAGGGAGAAAACGCTGAAAAATGTGCACAAGGGAGTGACCTCAACAAACCACTGGCATACTACTGAAGGAAAGAAACCGCAACATGGACAAAGTTGGGAAAACTGTAACTGAAGGGGCCGCTTCTTCCTTAGCGGCCTCCTTGCCCGTCATCATCGCCAGGGAAAGCGAAGAGAACCTTACGCGGCTGTTTGTTCGGTCGGAAACCTGGGCACTCAAAGCTGACGCCATTGTCAAAACGGCTTCTGACCCGTCGACCGAGAAAAGATCACTGCTGCTCAATCCAGGCACCCGCTCGCCGACCATCAGATGCCTCCGCACGACAAGGGAGAGTCGGAGGCGCACAGCGGTTGAGTGGTAGGCTTGATAGCCCGTTTCGGGGAGAGAGTGGTTTGCATCTCCCAAGGTAGGCGCTACCAGTTCACACCGCACACAAGAGATTAAGACATGTTGACAGAGCAGCTACAAGGTTGCAGGCTTCCTTCGTCCAATCCAATAGCTGCTCAGGCACCAGCGGTGTCGCTGACTGGACCAACGAATCGAGCACGCTGGGCCAACGCCCGTGGCCTTTCCAACTCATCGTCGGCAGCTCTGTATGCTCCCCGATGCATTGTAGCACCATAAAGGGACCAAGATCTCCAAGCTGAAAGACTTAAAGACAGACAGGTAGATGGGTAGGTGAATAGCTAGATGCAGCTAGATAGCTAGACCAAGCGTGTGAACGAGCCATGGAAGAAGTGACAGTCGAAAAAGGTTTCGCTTGAGGATCTCGGAATCTATACGCAGTCCATGCGCTCGGCAACTGCTTCGACACCCGGCGATCCGGACAATCCCAGCGACTGACATAATCCATGGCTCTGTGAACTTCGCTGCAGCCAGGTTGCACTCTTCCACCAGGATGGATAAGCCTGAGCTGTAGAGCAAACCGCGCCACTGCTTCACCACCAGCACTTCTCTCCGTGCTTTGTAAAATGCATCGGTGGACAGCAGAACAAGATGCCTACAAGGCCCTTCGACGGACGGATGGCAACCACTGATCAGCGCACAACCTCACGAACAGTCTCAGTTCCGAGACCCGTGCCTTCGTTTCATCCAACTTGTAGGAGCCCGGAAGCTGTGCCAGTAGTCTCTCCACAGTCATCCTCACGCTTCACAGTGCAGGGGCAGCATCGGATGTGGCGGCTGTTCATTATTCAGTTTCCTACCGCTGGCTTACACAAAGCCTCGGAGCTCCAGTATCACGACTTCGATTGCTGCCCGGAACTTAATTAGCATGAACCTCGCCCGTCGGGAAGTTAGCTACCCCCACCCAACAAAGCATATATATATATACTCATATATATATTATCCCTATTTTCCCTTCTCTTCCCAACGGGCGTGAGGGGGTTGATAGCTTGGGGACAGTAGATGATACAAAATTCTGTTATTGTGGTTTCAACGATAATATTATTTATTGAATAATATTATGGTTGCTTTACCTAAAAATGACGTTGTACCCACTCTATAACATCAATATAATCAAAGTGTTTTTCATATCCTCTGCATGATATTTTATGTATATATAGAACAGATTTTTAAAAACATCAGATACAAGCATTTCATCATTTCTATAACAAAAATCATCATCTAGGTCAGAATCATCAAAATCAAAACACTATGGAACAGGACATGATTTAGAAAGCCACTTGTTATGTTCATCAAACCCTTTCAGATAATAAGTGTCATTAACAAACTTTACCAACATTCCCTTTTTACAACTTTCCGAATTCCTGATTAGTTCTTTCATATAGGCTTTCTTATCCTTCAAGGCTTTTAGTTTGTTGTATTTGGTGTCTAGATGATTGTAGATAAAATTAAACAGTTTTGCCTCTCTACAATATTCTTTATATTCTTCTTTTTCATATTCTATTTCATACTTCATCATCTTAAAACATATATGACAACTCAGATAGGGCACAATGTTACTAACAATACTAGCATCAAAAACCAAATTTAACACAACTGCCTTTCTATTCCTATGACATTTACACACATAGCAGTTCTCTTCTAACTTAAATAATCCCATTTTCACACTTAATATATTAAGTCGCTATTTCTTTATATACTTTCTTCCTTGAATGGTTCAAAAACAAATGTTCTTATCAGCATCATATACAACATTATAATTATAATATTTCATTGTTTCTTCCTTGGGTTGTCTAATATCCTGATTATTCAGTTTACCTATATAGGCGCTCCTACGAATATTATAATTAGCATCTGTAATAAAAGGCTTATTATCACTAGGTTTAATATTCTCCTTATTACCTTCCAACTTCACAACCCTTTCTACAAGACTATTGACTAAATCTTTTAACTCTTTCACTTCTTCTTCTTTTAACATCTTTATTGGGCTTTTAATTGCTGGTGAAGATTCGCTCATATATACAAACCTAGATTAAAAGTTTTAAAAGTTTTCACGCACTTGCGTGACGTTTCTCCTAGCACTTTCCTTTCTTAAGTCCTCTCTGCATCTTATACAGTTTGAAGAATAGCAAGTGCTACCATTTATTGAAAAGTTATTACTCGGATATTCCTTTTTACACCTCTTGCAATCAATGAGATGTTCTTTCAACTCTTTTGCCCCTCCAAATACAACAAGCATTATATAATTAGCTAACAAAAGTCATAACATAACGAAATGTTATGATTTATCCATTTTCCTCAAGATTTAACGACACAATCAAACTAATTAGCTGATACATCTTATGTGCATCAAATTATGTAGATGTATCAAGATACTTCCCTTTCTCTCGTTCATCTACAATGCATCAGGTATTAAGGGAACACAGCTTAGGGGGTAGTTTTTCTTATCTTTCATTCTGTTTCATTTGCTACACTGGGGGCACTGTACTCTGTCAATATACAAACTATTTTGTTATTTAGACTTTTTTAACATTCTTAAGATAACAACATACTGCCTTAAGAGACTCCAATAGACTATGGCAACACATACTATATCTTGGAGTCTTTATTACTTCATCTAATTTTTCTATCTCATCTATTGCTTCTATATACTTATGCATTATATTTTTAAACCATTTGCTTTTTCTATGAAAAATAATAATGATTACTCCTATAGTCAAACCAGTTAATGCTAAAGAATATGATTTCAAACAATCTAAGTATGAAATAGCACCGAGACTACCGTTTAGTCAAATAATAGTTGGTCCATCAGGTTCAGGTTTGCATTCTATTACAGTCAATGATATTAGACATTTACAGGGATGTGTTTGAAAGAATATACATATGGAGCCCCTCTGTCTCAGTTGATAGCAATTGGTCACCAGTTAAAAAGTATATTCAGGATAATTTGAAGGTTAACTTAGAAAAAGAAAAGTGTCTGTTTGAAGAATATAACCCAGATGAATCAGAGGCAGTTATAAACAGACAACATAAGGTAATTGAATACCAGAAAAAGAACGACCATAATAAATTAGTCTCAATCTGAATTATTGTTGATGATTTTGCTGATTCCAAAGCTTTCTCGCGCAATAGCCCATTATTAAACCAATTGTATGTACGTGGTCGTCATGATAGTATTAATATCATAACAAGCACACAAAAGTTCAACACATTGTCTCCAATTATTCGTGTCAACAGTCGATTGAGAAACTACAAGGAACTAGAGACAAAGGTAGAAGACTTAAGCGCAGTATTAATCAAAAAATCTACCGTGGCTAATGCCAAAAATCTTGCAGAAGCGAAGAAGCTATTATTAGAAGTGTATAATCTAGCTACCGAAGAACCTTATAGTTTCTTGTTTAAAAACTTAATGAAGGCTGATGTAAAGGATATGTTTTATGAACGCTTTGATGCTAAATTAGTCATTGATTAATAATATTACGTACTAATAATATTACTATATCAATGAATAGTTACAAAGTGTTACAGGTGGCAAACGATAATAAATGTGTCACTCATTTTTCTTTAACTTCTTTTATATCTTTTATCATTTCGTTTAACACTTTAATTTGTAACTTACCAATGTTACTTAAATCTAAATCATCCTCATTGATATTGTTTATTTCGTTTATATAACAATTATCATTGTTAGTTTCTTTGTAAAAGTATTTCCCATATAGTATTACTTATATTATTCCTAATTTATTTAATATTTCCTCTGTTTTAACTTTAATCCTTGAACTAACTTTGCCCGTCCGCTCCTACCACAAGAGGACCGGGACCAGAACCAGAACCCTACCAAGGGACCCCGCCCACAAAGGTGAACAAACCGGCGCCCCTCCGAAAGCCCTCATTACAATGATTACAACATAAACGGCAGGTGGCGAGGAGACCCTCGGTGCATAGCCCCCCTGGCCAAGCAGTCTTGAAAACGCGCTCTTAGAGCCACGCAGAAACCTCGTCAGAGGTACTTGTAGCATATACCAGACCCTTTCTGCACAGCTGGGCATGTAATCCAAAAAATCCTGCTGGCTGTCGCACACAAGCTCGCAACAGCCCGAGCCACGAAGATCTTCCCAAAAAACGTCCGCAGAGCGCCTGGAAAAACACATCCAGCTTCTTGTCGGAGTCCCGGGGCTTGCGATAAGAGACCTGTCAACAACAATTAGTTTGATCAGAAAATCTCCGGTGGCCACATCAGTATAATCAGTTCTTAGGCTGGTAGAAGCTGTGACCCGAAGTGTCTTGGCTGCATTGACTTCCTGCTTGGAGTCTTACACCAGGTGTCTTGTATCACCTGCAATTCCACACTTTGTCATGCCCTGCTTCGCTGCATGTGCAATACGTCATGCAGCAAACCAAAGTCGCGGCCGCGAATCCGATCTACAGGTCCATGTCTTGATTCCTTGGCCTCCACGTCCACCTCGCTGTCAAACTGAACCACCAAAGCTTCAAAGCGCCCATCCTGCAGCAACGAGTACGCTGAATACACTTTCCGTTGCTTCACCAAGCGTAGACTTGCTCCATGATACATCATGCAGATGCTCCCCGCCCGTCACGCCTTGTCAGTTGTGTCGGGCGATCGGCCATAGTAGCCTCATTCACATCTCCACTTTGCAGCACAAGTTGCTTCAGGGATGCCTCGAAAGTTTCAGGAATGCTGACAGTCGGCGGCTGACTCCTAGCCCCAGGCTGCATAAGCAACTGCGTGCCTGCTTTCGGCGGAATCAGTGATCCTCAACCACTCCGTGCTAAAAGACCTAGTGGACAATCCCCAAACGCACTTGAAGCAGACACGAATGAGCCTTTAAAGACCATGTGACTCTTCCCAACGCCCCAAATCTGGGCATCTGCAAGAGGATCTCCAGCATGATCCAGTACCAGTCCTCTACGAATTAAGAACAACTTCCTTGGAGTTCTTGGGCCACAGGGTATCACAGGTGCAGTTCTCAGCAACTCGCATGACAGGTTCGTGGCAGAATTCGCTTCCTTGTGAACTGCAGGGGGCCAGACTGGCGGTGGTCCGACACAACTATGATTCCTGTTGCTCTAGCACTTACGAGTGAAACTAAACGCCCCAGTTGATGCACCAGCTGTTGCAAAGGTAGGAACGCATACAGTGTCACCACAGGTTTAAGTCGCTGGGAAGCTCGCCGTGTGCATCACAAAGCCTAGGCCTAGGCGACTCTCCGCACCGCTTTGCGCCCAGCCTTTGAACATGACCGCTCTGTTTGGAGAGTTGTACGCCATGTCGATGTTCCAGTAGCCCAACTTCCTGTCACATGCACGAAATGCTGGCTTCGTCCCATCTCAGCAAAGTAAGTGCATGGTACGTTCAAGCTGCCGTGCTGAGATGTTGCAGGCCTTCTGAACAAAAAAACAGGAAAGACCGTGCCCTTCTCCCCAGATCTGCAGTTGCGTGAGTTCAGCCTCTGTTCCATCACCCTGCCCTGCATCGCTGTTGTGCCCAAGCTCCGCAATCCAGACCGTCTGCAAGTTCAAGTATCGCGTTCGATGACTAACTGCCCTGAGGTAGACTTGCGCTTCGACTAAGTCCGAATCAAGCAATGGCAAGTGCTCTAAACCTGTGGCCAGGTGCCGATTGATGATTCCGCGAAGCTCGTCAGCCCGAATTAGCCGAGCACTGTTGTGACATTTATTTCCTTCAATTGCCAAGGCTCGACACGGGGGCCGCAATTGATTTTTTGCCCTCCGCTGCGAGCCTTTCCCGGAATGCCTGGTGAGGCTATGCGAGGCTAGGCTTTTGAACGAAGGAGTTTTTGAGACATGAGAACAACAAAACCGAACTCCCGAGACCAGACTGTCTTGCCAGAGCCTCTGGGGTCATCCATGCCTTCGCCACCTCACAAAGCTTGCCATATCTTGATGATCTCAACAATCGCTAACGTCATCAAGCGGGGATTTGCGCAAGTCAACTACAGGGCTTGCAATGCACTTGCTGTCAGCGCTATGAACCTCAACAAGGGAAAACAGCTGGCTCGTCACGCCGGTAGACTTCAAAGTTGACATGCCAAGCTCTCGCGGTGCGGACTGGCGATCACAAGAAAGGGCAGAGTCGAATCAGGCACATTCAGCAGAAAGCCCTGAATAAATATTGTCACGCTGCAGCAGTCGCTGCTCAGCAACTGCCCGGCCTTTTCCGGATCAAAGGGCTTTCGGTATTCCTGCCAAGGAGGTCTCTTAGATGGGTGATGGAGCTCGGAACATCTTACCCCTGCCAGGCAGAGACAAAGCAAAGTCTCTGGTTTCTCTCAAGCAAACGTAAAAATAGATGGCAGGTGATGCTACCCTCCACCAATGTGTGCCATGGTGCACGCTTTGACTTTCTGGGCCGGGCTCTCGTTGGCTCCTCTTCGACCGGTGTTACCTCTGCAGGGCAACGGTACTTTCACAGAAAACTGCGAGACAAGGCTTGTGAACGAGCGATGCTTCACAAAGCCCCAGATTCAGGAGCGTGTTCTGATTCGCCAGCACATGCCGCAGCAAGCTATATCGCGGAGGCGGAGGGCACTAGCAATCTGCAAGTCTTTTCGACCAGTTCGGCGCTGACGGTGGCAAGAAGGACAAGCTGACAAGCTATTATGAACAAGGGAGTTGTGCTTTGCAGAGTGCCGGCAGCCGGTATGAGTGAGTTCTCCAGTCTGCAGAACTGCTGCCAACATGCTGCAGAGCCACACTGAACAAGCTCGCAAAACGTCGGGGCCAACAGTCCACAAGCTGTCACGCCTTCGGCTGCAAGTAGCAAGTCGATAAAGATTCAGAACCGCAGTTGGCCCCGAAATCTCGAGAGGCGCTCGCTACAGGTTAGCCTGTTCTGAAAGCCTCTGGAACGCGGTGCGCGTGGTGCACACCACGGGTTCTGACCGAGCGGGAAGCCAAAAAAACCCTCGGAACTGTTTCTGAGGATTCTAAGCAACTGCCTTCTTAGCAGTTGGGCCCACGGCTCTAGAGTCAACTGTAGATCAAAATCTCACGGCTCTGCCGAAATCAAGCAGCTTAGAGGCTTAGAGGTCAGCGCAGTCCGAAGTGGAGGCGATGCCAGCAGCCGGGCCGTTGGTGAGCGCGGCCACCATGTCCTGGGCCGGTCTTTTAAAGATTGTCCATTCTGCAGAGAAGACTATTCGAAAAGAAAGCCTTGTGCAAGAACGGCCAAGTGTCCGAGATGTCGGCAGTGCACAGAGCCTTCTGGTCGGCACCCACCTGGCAGTCCGAGACAGCGAGGGCCGTAAATTGGGAGATCCAGGCAAAGGAGGAGATGATGTTCATGATGCCAACAGCGCAGGACTTCGGGTCCGCACAAGCGCTGCCAGCGGCACGAATCTGGAGGATGACTCGGACGATGTAGGAAGCCGAGTTAGTGACATCCACGGCACACTGCACGATATCGTAGTCACGATTGCGCTGCTGGTCCTTATGGCCCTTGACCTTCAAGGCCTTGTCGACCGCAGGCGAGGCCCCTGCCGGGACGAACTCCTTCCAGGGAGGGGAGATCGTCTCCGTGCGTGTGAGGATCTGGAGGGCATTCTTGCCGAAGTTGCAGTCCGCCCTGGCAGCGGCACCCACGGTGGCGATCTCGCCAAAGTTGGCCATCAGCGCTGTGAAATCACCAGCACATAGCGCACCATTGTTCACGGCGTTGCCGCAGGCGTTCGCCGCGAAAGAGAGGTACGAGGCAATCCAGCTAATGGACGTGATGAAGCCTGCGACGCTGGCAGCGCAGCCCACAGGCGAGTTGTTTGGGCATTCAAGCCCATCGTAATCAATGGCCTTGTAAAGGAAGACGACAGCCTGGCCCAGGTATGCAGCAGCCTGCACTGTGTCAATTACACATTCCGTGCGGATCCTTACTTGCCAGATACTCCAGCAAGAAAAGGGTGTAAAGACTTCAGAACAACGAACAGAATTCAAAACCCTAAACTCCAAGACCCCTATATATAAGCCCCTATGAGCCTGAGACCACCCAAAAAATGAATGTTTGCTATTGACAACCGAAGCTTCCAAGGCAACTCTTCTGGCTGCGAATCATAGAAGAGATCTTGAAGATTGCGAAGGGGCTTGTCCTGCTTCAAGCTCTGGGCCTTGCGGATCACCTTGTCAATGCCGGGCAGCTCCTCCCATGTCTGCGCCTCCTGTATCGTTCCTCCCGTCGTGGCACTCGAGGAAAACATTGCACCACCGGAGTGAGCCACCTTGGCGGTCACCCCAGCCACGCCGAGCAGCGCCAGGCCAGCGCCGACGAAGTACCACTTGCGGGAGGTGCGGGCCTCCGGCTGGGCCTGCTTGTGGCCTAGGCCCTTGTAGTCCACGGCGGCATCGCGGGAAGTTGGGGATGCCATGGCAGCCAAGGAAGGTCTGCAAAGGGCACGTGGGGGAAACCGGAGGCTGCGAAAGTGCTCGAGCCAGACCATTCGATTGTATGCCGTGAACCAGCTTGTTCCGACACTGGGAAGCGCTGGCTTTCAACAAGCCATGTGAAGGCTGCACTGGCACTGGAGCACAGGAACTCCTGAATTTTGGGGGTCTGAGAAGGAGATCTTCAAAGCTGGCCTGGCCTCGCTGATCTCAGTTACACGTGATGCATTTGGTGCAGGTTGGCCTGGGCTTCGATTCGACGTCTCCCTGCCCCAACCGAACTGTTCAACTACGAACCACGGGGCCATATGAGTACACCTTGGGGTCGTTGAACTGCGTGTCACGAATCTCTATGTGGCAGCTTCGACCCCCAATGTCGCGCCATGCGTCCGTCGATCGCCATGTCTGAAGCTGCCAGCTGCCACTTTCCCGTCTCCTCATCGAAGCTCCACATCCTGGGATGAAGCGAAGCCAGGGCTTCAGGGCCATTGAATATTTTCACTTGCACGTCGTGCCAAGAGACGGCGCGACAGGCGGGGCAGTGAAAAATCAAGAACCGAAGCTCTGGACTGCAGCTACAGGCTTCCGCCCCAGAGATCTAAGCTGAAACGTCCTGTCTAACTTCAAGGGCTTCCAACATGCGCCCGGGCAGAGTTGTGTTCTAGCAGACCGACGAATCTCTCATTAGCTGCTCAGCTCACGTTGCCAGGCCAGGCTTTAACAAGCGCTTGAAATCTGGCCAAGAGCTAAGGGCCTGTAGCCGAGGTCTCGACGACTACTGTACGAGACCAGCCATTTGAAGCTCACAGGCCCGCCGTGCGAGTACCGAGAATCTCTGGGAGCACCTCCAATTTCGCGGCATTTTTTGCTTGAACCGTGGTATGGATGTCCAGGGTCACACCTTCCAGCCACATCATGGGAGGAGTTAGACTTGATGGGACGCATGCTGCTGGGACAAGCTTCCTTCCTGGCTCCTTTCAGCGGCTACTCGGAATCCTCGTACAAGCCACTGTAAACCTGTGCACCGACCCATTTCCAGCCGTCATTGCAAGCGTCCTAGTAGTTGTAACAATTGCAGAAGCAGAGTTAGCATAGCAGTAGAAGTAGTCGTCGTCACAGTGGTAGTGGTAGTGGTCGTCGTCGTCGGAGTCGTAGTCGCAATCGCAGTCGCGGTCGCGGTCGCAATCGCAGCGGCAGTGGCAGCGGCAGTGGCAGTGGCAGCGGCAGTGGCAGAGGCAGTGGCAGTCGCAGTGGCAGCAGTAGTAGTAGTAGTAGTAGTAGTAGTAGTAGTAGTAGTAGCAGTAGCAGTAGCAGTAGCAGCAGCAGTAGCAGCAGTAGCAGCAGTAGCAGCAGTAGCAGCAGCAGCAGCAGCAGCAGCAGCAGCAGCAGGAGTAGTAGTAGTAGTAGTAGTAGTAGTAGTAGTAGTAGTAGTAGTAGTAGTAGTAGTACTACTAGTAATAGTAGTAGTAGTAGTAGTAGTAGTAGTAGTACTAGTAGTAGTAGTAGTAGTAGTAGTAGTAGTAGTAGTAGTAGTACGGTGGCAGCGGTAGCAGTGCTAGCAGGGGGAGCAGAGGGAGCAGAGGGTGCAGTGGGTGCAGTGGGTGCAGTGGTAGCAGTGGCAGGAACAACAACAGCAGCAGTGGCACTAGCCGCAGCAGTCGCAGTACTACCAGCAGCGGCAGAAGGAGGAGAAGCAGCAGTGGTACAAGAAGTCATTGTCAACACTTCTGACAACTTTCATCTTTCTCCTCCATCGGCTCCCCTGGGGCCTGCAGAGTCCTCTTTGACCTCCAAGGCCTCGCCCTTGGAATCCACAGCACCGATCCAAGCAGCACCAAGACCTCGCAATTCAACTCTCACGACTCGGACGACCCAGG